CTTAGGCTGCCAGTTTTCACCATTGAGCGGCAGGTCCTCGTGACTGTGATGTTCGCCCCCTCTGCTGTTCATCACACTTAGGCATGCAATTAAAAAGCAATCCACCTCTATGCGTGTGTGTGTTTGTCAGATAAGATCACACCTTAATCTGTAAACAATAGTACCTCTGTTTGTCTAGCTGGTCACATATGCGACCATAGAGATTGTACGTATGTTGAGTAAACATAGAACGAGGAAAAGGACCTAAATAACACGCTTAATGTATTTGAGTCATTTGGGCTTGTTTCCAACTTTCCATTCACATTTCACACGTGATCTGGCATCCTAATCCTCGGGGTTCGCTTAACCCGAAGCAATACACTGTGTGAATTTCGTGTACCTTGGTTGTCCAATGAACCTGACCCCAAACCTGTACACTGAGTGTGGAAGTTTTAGCATGAACACTATGCAGATACCAGTTCTCATTTATCCGCACTGAGTTTGGATTGTGTATCTCGTCTATTCCACCTCGAACTGTGACTCAAAAATACCATTTTAGCATCATGCAAGTTGTTTCACATAACCCCACTGCCAGGATTACTAATGATTCCAATCTGAACGGTCATCCTCTTCCCCCCCCCTCACCTTGCATGTGATTTACCTTCTACAGTTTTCTGTAAATAAAATCCATCCAATATACCAAAGGTATATGAACGAGGCGAGTAGTGAGATGACAAACGTTTGGGATCGTCTCTCTTTGCAACTACTGGGTACGATCTGCGCTACATAGGGCATTTGTCATACCGCCATAGTTGTTTCGGTACCGTGCGTAATAAATATTCGTTTATCGGAGAAACTGCGAAAAATCTGTTTGCCAATCTCCAAATAGGGCACATCCAATCCTTGTCTATCTTGGCACTGCTTGCCAACTTCAACCTCGGGCGTTTTAATCTGTCTTTGGATGTGATGTAAACTGTTGTAGAGAGAACACAACGGATAACAATATTTGAGCATCAATGTCTTTGTAACTCTGTGCCAGTTCGTCTGAACAATGGGACCATGGCACCGCTGATATAACAAACATAGTGCCAAGTTGTTATTCCATATGTGCTTTAGTTTAACGGGTTATACATAAATATATCTGTACGGGTCACATAATAAAACGTGTTCTTGCTTGGATTCAATCTTCAGTTGGAAGTTGCAATTGTAACTAGCAGGCTAGCACAATTGATAGCAGATTGTCGGGGTTTTGGTCTTGCAGAACTCTGTTGTCATTGAACTATAGATAGGCGAACGATTTGCTAGAACTAAGCTTCACTGCATGTGAATCTACCAGTAGACCCCGCTTTTCCAGTCTATGTTATATTTCAGTAGTATTTGTGCTGTCAACGCCGTGTATGTGCTTACCACTTATTTATCACTGTGTTACGCTACAAGTTTTGTTGTGTGATTGACCGGCAAACGTGCTACTTTTTAATTACCCAAACCAAAGCAACTTTTTGTTCACCAAGAATTCACAACCAGAGGCTTCGATTAACTACAGTTGATCCAAAACGCGGTGTAGAAATCGTAGTTCGTTGATATTTGGTCGCTCGTACTGTACGTTTTAAGTGACTGATTAAACTTCCGGGTTGCTAAATATATGC